CTTATCTATTTCGGCAACTTAGAAAGTACTGCTCAATGATTTATAATGCCGCATTGTTGTCGTTAAACAGAGTGAGCGTGACGCTATATAGAGTGTAATATTGTATAGAAAACAATGTAAACCAACCAAAGTCAAGCAATTTCGACGTTTTAAGGAGTTTGTCGTTAAATCAAGTGACGTTATAAAGGGTTTACACTGTAATTGTTAAAATTATATTTATTTACGAACAACTTTTGTTACTTTAAAATCTATCTACTAATCTGATAAATGAATCTGAAGTTTACCAGTTTATTCCTTATGATATATAATCAAAATTTACTGTAAGTAACTCCTAGAATAACTTTTATATAAATACGTCCTCATAATTCCGTCGTTAATGTATTCTGCCGTTTGACCCACATATAAAAATAGAATCATCGAAAATTTTATTTCAGTTAGCACCAATTCTATAATCCCTACTTTAAATGCACCCTCGTATTATACTAAAGTTTATATCTTGAACAAAATTTGTATGGACAGACGATTCAGCATTCCTCAGGATTTTAATAGACAGTATATACCGTGATAGATACAATTTCAATAAAAAATACGTTAATGTAAGTACAACCAAAGTACAGTCAAAACCGTTTACTACGACATCGTTTAGAACAACATACCGGTTATATTGACCAATATCATAGGTCCCGGCTGAATTGTGTTACGACCGCCTTATAAAAAACATTGGCTTTTACGACATTGCTTATTACGACATATCTCTTTAAGCGACTACATTTAATTGATATTTTCGGAGAATTATATCTGTTAGAACGACCAGCTGAATTATAAACATTGGAAAAGGTAACAGTATCCACATGTGGTACACTAAATGACCATTAAGATCGCAAAAGTAAACAAAAACGTGTCGAGTTTAGGGTCTATTGTAAATCTCAGAATATCTACTACTGAAGCTGAGGTGTTTATTGATGTGGATAATTCTATTGCAATTTGTGCATCAGTTACGGAAGAAGTTCAAGAGGAAAATGACGAACAGAAGAGACTAAAGAACAATTTATAGTGCCAACTTTGAATGATGGTCTTAATGCTGTCAGTGTATTTCGAAAAATTGTTCTTTTTAATGAACAGTTTCACGTGCAGGGAAATTATGCCGATACATTAATTAAAATTCAACAGGAACTAAAGGGTGCGTACGCACGACACAAGTGTATATGTGTATGTGTATATATGATAATTATATGTAGGTAATGTCTTTTTATTATACGTTTTATGTGAAATAAATAAAATGTAGTTTTATTTTATATATGAATATATTAGTCACACATTCAATAATTGGTATTAGATACTTAGTAACAACGTCACCGGTTGTTACGACTATCGGTTTTTACGACCAAATATGACTAGTCCCTTCGGTGTCGTTATAACAGATTTTGACTGTAATTACAAATTACAAAATAAGGGACATATAGTTGGAACGATCTAAATAGGCAAAGTTTGCAAAAAATTATCTGTGAGAATAGACGTATCGTCTTTCTTGTTTCCGCTAATAATTGTTATTTGACGAATATGCATTAAAATGTTTGCAATTATTACTATGCAATTCATTAAAGCTGCATCACATTGTGGTATATTTAGTCTGGCGTTAATACTTGGCAGATCAAATTTTATTACCTCATCAACTATATATTTTTACTCCTAGAATTACAAGTGTAGAATGTGTTTTATACATATAATTAGAGTAACAGTATACGCTTTTGAATTAAAATTATTTTGATGAAGCATGTAAGAAATACAGAAAAGACAATTTAAGTTTTAAATACCTCCTGATAGCTATATTAAACTTTAATGAAAGTATGTTGAAACAAAGTAATAATTAATAATTCATTTTTAAAGAGAAGAACTAGAAGAAGTAGCTTACATTTGATAGCTAGGAAGTCTAAGACAACACAGCTGTAGACCTATGTATAAAAAAAACGGCAGTGTCAAGATATTTTTAGTAAAAGTGAAGCACTTACAGGAAAATTGTAAAAGAAAGATTCTAAAAAGAGTGTTTGGGTGCGAAATGTGGAAACATGAGGCTATGTACGGTAGTCAATAAGAATAAGGAGAGATTAGGATGCTGAAACACCTTCTAAAACATAAAGGATTAGATATAGAGACATATTGGAAACGGAAACAGAAGTTAAGAACGGAAGAGGAAGGGTAGATAATTGTTCGTCAATAGTTAGGAATGAAGGATGTTGTAGCTTTCGTCCAATTTGTTTTTACACTGGCGACTTTCTAACATGAGAATGAAAGAAAATTATTTTCTATGCCCGGCGCCTTCACCAATTTTACTTACATATTTGACATATTTTTATTTACTTAGGGATATGCACATACAAAGCCCAGAAATAGAAAAATTCCTAAACAAATAGATAGCCCATTCTGCAATATTTGGGATGTTATTTTATGCCTGCCTCTATATTTCAAAATTATGGATGCAATCCAGGATTGTTGGTGACACTGATGACTGTACTTAGAAATAATTAAGAATGGGTACAAAATTTTCCGGCAGTAGTATTATTTGTTTTAGTAGGTAAATGATAAAAATATACATATTAAATAGTGATAATGTAGGAAAAGTTACCATAAAAATATAAACAAACTTATCTAACTCAGTTAGAATTCTATTGAATGTTTGTACTTATAAAAAAATAGATAAAAACACTTGGCGTTTGTTTCATAAATTTATTCATTTTGTTTTTCCTAAACAATTGACATTTTATTGTCCACCGTTTACAAATAATATCTAATCAATTTATGAAACATACACCAGTATTGCTTTTGTTTTGTTTAACAAATTGGCAATAATGCATCATCAAGTAGTTTTTTACTTTAATTTCCTACCACTTACGTCTTCTCTTGGAATTCCGTTACACAAGTTAGTTCTTTAAAATATATTGAAATTACGGCCAGCAAGAATTCACATATTCTAGAAAATCGTAATAGGTTCATACCGATCAAAATTAGTTGATTTATTTTTAGCAAGAAGCGGTTTTTAGGGTCACTTCGAATGCAGTGGTGATTGTAGTTGAGATAGCGGACAAGTTGTCAGCCATTGCCAAAAGTATGTCCTACTTTAGAGTATTTTTTCATGCGTCTGCATTTAAAAGTGGCTTCTTTACGTAATTCAGAGATGTATTTCTGAATCTACACATTACACATGTCAGCAAGACTTACCGTACATACATACCATGGTGTACAATTTGGAAAATTTTATTCGTAAAAATGATAAAGTATCTACCTCATATTTTATACAACTTTTAGGTATTAGGTACTATAAATATAAAATATTGTGTAAAATATACAAAACATTTTTTTGTACTTGATGAAAACCGTAAGAGATTGATATTCTTTTGATATTTGTTTTCTATACAACACCTAATAAGTAGGCAGGTGCTTACAAATCTCTAATACGTAATTATTAATTAACCGGTAGGAGAATCGATTGAGGCCAAAAGGAAGAAAATTCGAAAGTAATTTACATCTTTTTAGGGTTCCGTATATGAATATATGAATTTCTGTGACCCAGCATGAACGCATAACGTAACTAAATTAATTTTAAACATAGGGGTCATTTTTGGGAGGTCAAAAGTAAATTTAAAAAAAAGTTTTGCAAACTGTACCGTTTGCAAAGATGTGGTTCACTTGAAATACATGCATTTAAAATACAAATACAAAATAAAAAATACTTATTTTTATATTGCATTTAAATACTTTTTTGAGAAAAGCATTTTNTTTAGCAAAGATATCAGTTTCTGTAACCCAAACACGGGCGAATAAAGTAAATAGACTAATTTTGAACATGGGGATCATTTTTGGGGGGTCAAAGAAAATAAAAAAAAATTGTTTTACAAACTGTACCGTGTGACATATTAAATGAAAGAGTTTGTTGTATGGGTATCAAATATATTTTTTTTATGATTTTATAATATAATAAATAGTTTTAATTTAAGGAAATAGATGAAAATTGACCTTCCCCTAAAACTTTGAAAAAAAATACAGAAAACAGTTCTTTACTTATAGATTACAGGAAAATTAATGACAAGTCTATGGTCTGAGTATAACTTAGTAAATCTTTCAATAAAGCAATAGTATGCGTACAAATTTACACTTACAGTTTGAATGTATGGGACAACATTAATTTTTTTCAACTACAATGTAAAATTGGTTCTCGGATTAGGGTTCCGTACGTCCGAATAAAAAATGGAACCTTTATAGGATCACTTGTGTGTTTGTCTGACAGTTTCTTTTGTTGTAAACAGGCCAGCAAAAACTTGGAGAATAATCTTTTGCTAGTCCTAGATCTATTAATTACTCCCTCGTGGTTTTAATTTTAATAGCACAATTGGCAATTTTTCTTTGCAGAGATTTGAGATAATTTTATGTCGCAAATATCTTATCTTCATTTATGAACTAAAGCAGAAAAATGTTAGGTACCTATTTATAAAGAAGTAAAATGTTATTTCCTTTTAATTAGTTACATAACTTTTGTTTATGATGACAATAACAATCTGAACCGTTAAACATTTTCTGATAAAGGATGTTACAATTGTTTAATGACCAAAATAAAATGTAAAATAGCTGGAAAAATAAAAACAAATTTTGAATACTTTTTTTTGATATTGAAAAAATTACGTGTATTTATATACTTGTGTATATGTACTACCAATGTCAAAAGTACAAAAAAAAATAACGTATAAAAAAAACGGCAGTGTCAAGATATTTTTAGTAAAAGTGAAGCACTTACAGGAAAATTGTAAAAGAAAGATTCTAAAAAGAGTGTTTGGGTGCGAAATGTGGAAACATGAGGCTATGTACGGTAGTCAATAAGAATAAGGAGAGATTAGGATGCTGAAACACCTTCTAAAACATAAAGGATTAGATATAGAGACATATTGGAAACGGAAACAGAAGTTAAGAACGGAAGAGGAAGGGTAGATAATTGTTCGTCAATAGTTAGGANTAAATTCTAAATTTAATTTATGAATATTCTTCACCAAAATTAGTTTTTGTTTATACGAGATTCAAATTAGATTTAATATCACTTCTATTTTTTTGACGGTAGAGTCCATGGTAATGTTTCACCAACCAAAACGAATCAATAACGGCACCCATTTTATCTGTGGAAACTTGTTCAAAATACAAATGGGTTCCATTGAAAGCCTTCAGTCTTGTATACCCATAGTCACTACTTTGGAAAGCGGACCAAGCAGGTCTTTTCCTCTTGAATCTGTCCGTTCCTTCGCGACAACCAGCGGACCCAGTAACAATGTGAACAGGAGCACCAGGATTCACATACGGCCATTCATAACTACCATTGTACACATTATAGTCATAAATGGGCCACAATCGTTCGTAGGAATGTTCGTGAGCCCATATCTCCACATCAACACCATACCGAAACAGAAGCTTTTCTAATGCAAACATATGAAAAAATGGTAAACCTATTCTCGTCATGGTCCCATAGTAAGTGCAGTCATCAGTGTCGTCGTTGCTGCAATACATGGGCCTATGACCTATGACCACTATCCAAGGTCGTCTTTTACGATTCTTGGGTTTAGTCGCTTCAATTAGATCATTCTCTAACCACTCGTACTGGAACACCATCGGTTTTATTCCATAATTGAGGAAATAGTACACTTCAGTCGAAATAGATATGAAATGTACTGGGCCCATATTAAAACTATACATTATATTGTCGGGACTTCCTGGCATGTTAAATCGGTAGCGGTAGTTACTAAAGTTATACCTTTCTTCGTGATTTCCTGGGCATGTCATATAAGGTACGTATGCTGCTACTGGTTCTATCTGGCGCATAAACTGGTCTCCAATTAGGGCATTCTGAGAGTCCATGTCATAAGCAAAGTCTCCAACGTGAAGTATGGCGTCGTACATACCTCGTTGGGTCTCGTCTTGCAGTCGACTCAAAGACTGGGCATTTTCGTTGCCCATATCCCCAAACAAGGCTATAGTTGGTTGCCAATTTTCTTCTGGGGGTGGCGTTTTGAACCAAAACAGATCCGACCAGCCCAATCGGCTTCCACAATGGTACAAATATCGGCTGTCCGCAGTTAAATTTTTCAATACGACTTTGTGAATGTACTGAGTGTGCTTTTGTCTTCCTCCATCCACAAATTTAGTTGCCGATCCTTGAGCAGTTAGTATCAATCCGTTGATTCCGTATTTTACAGTTGATAGATGGGTGTCGTTAAATGTAGACCAAGTAACTACATAATCGTATGGAGTGTCTCCATAAGCGAGATGCACCTGTTCCGGCTGGTACCAAAATACGTCATTTCCGCGACAGTTTAAAAAAATATTAACCATAAGCAGTAACACAAACGCAGCACTTTCACAATTTTTTGTTCTCATCTTCGGACCGTTTATTAACGAACAAACTCACAATTCAATAATTGTACCGACAGTAAAACTAATTCTTTATTGTTTTTCTTTGTTGAACTATCAACTCATGATTATTTTGTTCTTGTATCTTCTAAATGCCTAGAATAACTCGTGAAACGTCAATGTCATTCTGAATTATTTCAGAGAGCCGATACGCCGACGCGAATGGTAAGGAATGGGATCGATAACTGTGTGGTTTGTTACAAAAACTCGATGCCTTTTCAACTTGATTCAGTTATTGCAATTGTTGTTGAGAACAAAGGTCATTAAATGATAATACTAATGATGTAGATATTACGCACACATAATGAGCGAGGCAGAACGACTATAACAAAATCACGGACTTTTTCTAATACAGTCAGCAAGCGATTATACTATGTAAGCTGCGGAACCAGAGCACATACTGGGCGTTGAATAGTGAGTAAGCAGGTGTCAAGCTGTGGATTGCTCTTAAATTAAAGGATTCAAATGATTTTCAATTACCACCTAATAAGTTTTCGAGAAAAATTTGGTTTATTTCTTTTCGTTTAATTTTTTTAAAGTTCAATGACAATAGACTACAACAAAAATCGACTGACGGAGAAATCCCTTACAAAATAGTTTGTTTACCATGAAAGATCAGAGCCAAAAAAGAGTTGCAAATAATTTTATTGATGTAAAATCTACATCAACCATTTTATACCAAAATATTTACAACCCCATTTTGTTTCCGACTTTTAACACATTGTAAAAAGACAAAGAAATGGAATCCATAGTTTCTTTAGTCTTGGATTCATCTAATAAGTGATGTTTTTGGAATCGTTTTCTAAGAATTTTGGATTATACGCATTTATTAGAACCACAAGATATTGTAGTTTTCAATTTTACACAGCTGGCGTATATCAATTTTATATTGTTTTGCTGGATGTTTTGTCGTAATTCATAGAAATTCGTAGTTTCTTGCTAAAGGTACGATAACTTGTTATTTGGCAGGTACTGATATCAAATTTGGAATTTCAAAATTCCATGGACCACGACATTCAAGCCGGAAAACAATATCGACCCAATATTTTAGATTATCTATTTCCAAGGAGTTTAAAGGTTTTTGGGCTCTCTTCAGTTAAAGAATTAGAAGGCATTCATGGAATGTCTCTCTGTCCCCTTTAACACCTTCAATAACCAATTTGAGCAACTTTCATTCATCATTTTATGTAATGTTTGATCGGACCTAATACTAGTAAAACTTTCAACGCCAAAAATGTATTTTACATTTCAGAAATAAAAAATAAGTTTGGAAAAGTATTTTAAATAAAATAAAAAATTGTTTTCTCAAAAAATTATTTAAATGCATTGATACAGATTTTCATCAAGTAAAGGTCGAATCTATTCAATTTCAAAACAATATTTACTTTAAACAGCACATAACATAAAGAAAAATAAACTCCCTACTCGTCTAAAATTAATTTGAGCTATCAGGAAACGTGAACAAAGTAAATCATGAAAATCAACTATTATTTTTTCATGGGATGTTTCATTATGAAACAATTGCAACCCCAATTGCTGAAAGACACAAGGAATTAATGACAAAACATCGAACCAAAAACCAATTGTTGATTTCGATTATTCATTTTGTCGGTCATCCTGGATAATTCTCACTAATGCCTTTATAGTTCATCTGTTTCTGTTTTCTAAGATTAACAGCCCAACATAATTTTTGCAAATAGCAAATACTATTAATAATTAATGTCACGGTTCCATAATGCAGACTGCAATAAAACTGTTCGTTGCAAATGCAGTCGATTGGTTTAATTACGGCATTCTAATGAGACTTGGCATTGTTTATTTATTGTTGCATGCCTATTTCCTGCGGACCGATTTGGAACAGATAGACAGTACTTTGACGACCCAAAAACAACTAGTGCATAGTGCATTCGGTATTGGTGGTAGTGGTTCGAATATGGATTACGGTCAAAGTGTATTAGTGTCCGACATTGTTTCTAAAACTTAAATTATTGTAAAATGTTGCAAGGTTCTAAATTTTTTAAGCCCCTACGCTGTCTAGGACTAATTTCTTCTTCCTAAATTGATATTTTACGGATATGTGAATGTCGAATCAAAATTAATGTTTTGTCTAAAATCATAAACTAAGAAGGGTAATTAACCCCGTATCGTTTCAAGTTATAATTTTTATTTGTTATTTTAATTTTTATTTCATAAATAATTAAACCTCACTATATTTTTACGGACTCTTTTATGTAACAGTTTCGAGTACTAGTTTTTCCATCAGGCTACTAATATTGACTAATATTTTATCACAAAAGTAACCGCTTTTATTCCTTTTTGGGGTAGTTTTATCCTTTGTAGGTTTTTTCGTTTTTTTCTTTGTAATATTTTATTTGTCCAAAATGTTGAACGAGTGGTTAAATTACATTTGGGTGATGCTGTGCAGCGTCTTTTATCGGACTACTGCAAGATCTCTCACAGAGGGGTAAGTGTCGAGAAATAAACGCAAGAAAAAATTTAATTGTTAATGAATTGAGTATGTAATTAATTTTTGACGAATTTACTATCACAAATGCGACAAAATCGGAAGATGTCGAAACAGGTTTATCATGATTATTGTTACAGCTAAAATTTTTATATTTTTATCATTTTAAATAACTAGTAAAGCGACTCAATGATTACAACTGCAACTAATAACAGTTGTGATTTTTATATTTTAAAAAAAACACAAAGAGAATTTTTGGACTACTTTTGCGAGTCTTATTTTTCTTTTTTGTAACATACTTGTATCTGACTAGG